ACACAGGACCACCTTCAGAATTGATCCCCATTTGTTTCTGCAAGGCATCAGCTCTCCAGATTGGCTGATTTCCACCCCTGCCCCCCCCCCACACCCCAAGCCCAGTACTAAAGGAGCCTTCTGAGCAAGCCATGTTCAGCACATTGCCCCTCCAACACGCAGACCTGGTTCAATGTCTGACATTCCGCCCACTCACTATGTGCTGACTTTGCCCTGCTCCAGACTTGTGCCATCATACGCAAAGTGCAGTGATAATCCCTGCCTTGCAGATGATGAGAACAAAATGAGTCAACATACCATAACTGCAAGCTGTTTTCCCCTTCTTATCAAATTCTTCCACTAACCATTCTCAGGGCTTCCTTGCCTGGAGCACCTGCCTAGGTGAGGCTGTCCCAGTTGAGTAGTTCAGTGGTACTTGCTAATGTCGGTCGATGCCCATCTCTGAACGGCCTTCCTGGCAGCCCTCCTCCCTCTTGGAGCTCATATTGGTGCTCCCCTGGGAGCGTGACCTACACCCCTGACCTCAGAGCACTGTCTAAGCTTCCTCACCAGCAGACTCTATCTCGCCCACTTTTTGGTCCATTAGGGAAGTGGCTTGCACACAAAGATGAATAATTTTTGCTGCATGGATGAGGTGGAGGGGAGCCAGGATGCACCTGGCAGCAGGTGGTGGGTCATCTGGTCACCCACGGAGACAGAGATGGGGGGGGGTGTGGGTAACGAGAAAGAGGAGGAGACACAGGATAAGGGAGGAAGGGGCAATGGGGAGACCCACACAGGTAGTGAACACAGTCTCCAAGGAGGGTTTCATTCTCCTTGGGCTGCTTTCAAAGTACAAATAATTAGTTTGGGAATTCCAGTGGTTAAAATTCTGCACTTCCACTGCAGGGGGTGTGGGTTTGATCCTGGCTGGGGAACTAAGATCCCATATACTGCATGATACAGCCAAAAAAAAAAAAATACAGATAATTAATCTGAAGCCTTGTGGTAACTGGACATGCAGTGCCCTGCTCCTGGCCTGCTTGGGCATATAGTGATCTCTCATGGTCATTTTAATTTTCATCTCACTGACAACTAATACTTTTGAGCAATTTTTCCATATCATTTCAAGCATTTAATGTAGCTTTTCAACCCAGAAAAGGTAGTGTCTTCAGATGGCAGCTCTTAAAAGGCCCACTGATCCTATGTTTCCATTTACCTGTTCATAAAATTCATTGACAATGCCTTCTGTCCATTTTTAATGCAAGCTTCAAACTTTTGTTGGGCCAATTATATCTGCCAGTTTGCATATCTAGCATACTAAGAGGAGATTGTTTTCATTACTCCATTCTATACCATTATTATTTAGGTCATTGACCTATCTTTGGAAAAACTGAATTATTTTAGGGGCTGAGGGAGAGGAGTTTTTTATTGTTGTCTCTTTGGCTGCATCATGCGGCTTGTGATTTTGTGGCATCTTAGTTCCCTGACCAGGGTTTGAACCCTCGCTCCAGGCAGTAAAAGCCTGGAGTCCTAACCACTGGACTGCCAGGGAATTCCCCAACTTTTGGTTTTTACTAAATTATCTTAAACTGTTTCCTGTCCTTTGGACAGGAAGGAATTCAAATAAATGCTTCATTTAATTGGTTTGTGCTGTGACATGTACCTCTATGGGTTAAATTTTCCTTTGAAGTGTGATTGACAATTTTGTTTCAGTGAAAGTAGAGCACTGTATTATAAGCAGAACAGACCATGGGTTTCAGTATTTGTGATACTGCAGAAAATTGTGACTTGTGTATATTATGTTATACACATTAATATATGTAATAAAATAAATATATGTATGTACATGCGAGACCAAGGGCTTCCACGGTGGCTTCATGGTAAAGACCCCACCTGCAGTGCAGGAGACTCGGGTTCAGTCCCTGGGTTGGGAAGCTTCCCTGGAGAAGGAAATGGGAAGCCACTCCAGGATTCTTACCTGGAGAGTTCCGTGGACAGAGGAGCGTGGCAAGCTACAGTTCATGGGGTTGCAGATTGTTGGACATGAGTGAAGTGACTGAGCACTCACTGACCTTTGGTTCTCTTCTGTGAAATGTCTATTTGAGACTTTTGCCCATAAAAAAAATGAATTGCCTTTTTCTTATTGATTTATAAGCTTAGAAATATGTATTCTACATAAAAGCCTTTGTCAGATATGTGTATTAAGAATACATATTCTCAGTCCGTGGTTTGCTTTTTCATTTTCTTAATGTGTCTTCAGATGGATAGAAATTAACTTTGATAAAGGCCAATTTATTGACCTTTTCTTTTATAGTTAGTGTTTCTTGTCTCCATTTAAAAAAGGTTTATGTTCCCCCGAATCATGAAAAGAGTCTCCTATATTCTCTTCTAGGAGCTTTATTATTTTACCTTTCACATTTAGTTCAATGGTCTATTTTAAATTAAATTTTTTTGATGTTCAAGATTCAGTGTTTTTCCAGATGATATCCAATGGAGTCAGCACCATTTACCAAAAAGATAATGTTTTTCACCACTGAATTAAAATGGTACCTTTGTTGTAGGTAAAGTAATGACACAGGTATGTCTGTTTTTGGACTATTTTTCTGTTCAATTAGTCTTTTTGTCCATCCTTATACCAATATGGCCTTGGCTGAGTCCCTATAATCTAAACAATTTTTCATATTTGGTAGTATAGATACTCTAATATTGTTCTTGTTTAAGACTTTCCTGGTAATTCTAAGTTTTTTGCTTTTCTATATATATTTTAGAATCAACTTGTTACTTTCTCCAAAGATACCTGCAGAGATTTTGATTGAAATTTCTTTAAATTTGTAAATAAATTCAGGGAAAGTTGACATCTTAGACAGTATAGGGTATTCTGGTCAATAAATGTAGTATATCTGGCTACTCTCTCTCAGCAATGTTTAGAGTTTTTAGTATTGATATCTTCCACATTTTGAAGATTTATTTCTAGATATGTTTTTATGCTAATGTGTGTTATTTGAATTTTTATTCTCTAATTATTAGTAATATATAGAAAATACAATTTTGAATACTGTATCTAATGATCTTGCTGAATTCACTTATTAATTTTAGTGGTGTGTAGATTCTTTGGGATTTTATACAGATTTGGATTATGTACATTGAAGAAGTGAGTGCTCAGTCATGTCTGACTCTTTTGTGACTCCATGGACTGTAGCCCACCAGGCTCCTCTGTCCGTGGAATTTCCCTGGTAAGAATATTGGAGTGGGTTGCCATTCCCTTCTCCAGGGGATCTTCCCAATCCAGGGATTGAACCCACGTCTCTTGCGTCTCTTGCATTGGCAGGCAGTCTTTACCAACTGCGCCACAGGGGTACAATCATGTCATCTGTAAATCATGGCAGTTTCACTTCCTCTTTTGGAGTCATTATACCTTTTAATTTCTTTCTCTTGTATTACCTACAGCTACTGGAAAGTTTTAAGTAGCAGTGGTGATAATAGCTGTCTCTGTCTTGATACAGATTTCAGGGGGAATAGTTTTGACATTCATTCACTTTTTCCTTAAGTGTGGCATTATCATTTTAAGGACTAGATTACTGAGGCTTAGAAAAGATGAATAACTTGCTCATTTCACCATGTCAGCAGTTAACACCGTTGAGTTGTGAACCCAGGCTTTTTCTTACTCCTAGGTTTGTGCCACTCCCACTGTACCATCGCTACCTCTAGAAGACTGGGCTGAACCCAGGATTTCTGCTAGGGTCACTTGAGGAAGCTTAAGAATATTGATGACTGGGCTCCATCCCAGACCAGCTAAATCAGCATTTCTGGTGGTGAAGTGCAGGCATTAGTGTTATAACAATTACACATATGATTCTAATCATCTGAGAACCAGGCAAATGACCATTAATCTAGAAGTACTTTGGTACAATTGACATTCCAGCTGTGCCAGGAGTGCTTTACGGAAAACTTGGTGTTTTCATATCAGCACATGCCTAGCAACCTTCACCCAAAGGGAAATGAACTTTTTCTTAATGACCTTTGAAACCTTCTCACAAACTCCACTCCTTCCACTACCAAATGCCTCCAGAGCATCTTTTCAACAGTCTGCTTTAAGGAAAATCACTTGCTCGATGGGGAAATTATTTTTTATTTATATTCTTAAGTGATTTAATTCTTGATTTCTTTCCACCTCAATAATTCACCTCTTTATCACTGACTTGGCTGCCAAACTGGTTATATAATCCCTTTCATCCACTGTTCCATTCCCTATTTCATACTCATATTTGTTTTTGTCTGATTTGGCACTTGACTTTTAATCGAAGATTCTTGTTTGAAAGAGTAAAAGAGGTTGAGTGGGGTCTGGGTATGTTCATTTGGGAGGAAGATTATATTATCCTCCTGAAGGTGTGTTTTACTTTCTGTAACTTTCTATTGGGCTCCCAGCTCTCCCACCACTACTTAAACATGTTATTTTATAAAGTAAGCCTTTAACCCCTTACTTTTTTCATAGACGTTGTCCTGAACTTTGCCCTCATCTGGTTTATATCCCACATTCAGATCCTGCTTCTGGCCTGTGGGCTCAATTATTCCACCAAATATTTTGCCCTGTCCCTTGGCCTGCACTTGACCTTGCTTCCTTGGATGTGACCCTGCTTCCCTCTCTGACTGTGATTGGATTTTCCCTTTGGCTGTACATTGGATATGCAGATCCATCGATGAGCAGGATTCCAAGTTCTTTGTGGTTCCCACTTGTCTTTTGTTTTTTTTCTGCAGGCTTCTTGTGTCCAAGTGGACAGAAAGGTGAAGGAAGAAATTCGGGGCAGTCTTTAGGTCATGCTCCCCTTCCACCCCATAGCTGTTATCGCTGCTTTCACATGATTCTGTTGATCTGTTACAACAAGCAACACCTGACTTCCCCTAAAAATGAAACATGCAAAAAGGAGTTAGAAAGTAGTAGGCAAGCACCAGTGATACATGATGGGCCTTTGATGATGGGCCTTTGTATACTAGCCTGTGTCCCTTAGATATTCACCGAAATGCCACTGCTGCTACTTTTCCGAAGGTCAGTAGGAGGACATTGTTCATAAATCGGATGTGATGTTTACAGTACATTTGGATTTCTCAAGGGCATGGTTTCCACCCTCCTTCTCCCGCCTCCCAGGGAGACTTTCACAGCCTGCCTGTCCCCTCTTCATCCAGATTCAGGGTGCATCAGTCCTACAACCCAAGTAGTGACCAGGCCAGAGCATCCTCAGCATCACTTGAATGCCCTCCCATGAGGAAAGCTTGTCACCAGGACCAGCCCATCCCACTGTACGTAAAAGCTAATTACCTCTAAGTGCTTCCAGCAGCAATCTGTTTAGGGATGTGAAAGTGCTTTGATTAGATTGTTCTCTTGGCATCATTCAGTTCACGACTGAGGGTGGGAAGTGGGTGTTTGGGGATGGAGGCTCTTCAGAAATGGGACCAGTGTTGGAGGGAGCTGGTCTCATGCTGGGCTGCTCCCGGGCCCACCACATGAGTTGAGTTGGAAAGCCCCGGCTGACCTGGCCTTCTCGCCAGCCTCTTCCTTTGCTGCCCGTGTCAAAGGCCCCACAGATGGGCCACAGGGCCAGGAGAGGGGGAACCAGGATGGGAGTCTTGGCCGTGGTATCACCTTGCTTCGTGGTCTGGGCAGTCTCTTCCCTTCCCTGGGCCTCTGTTTCCTGATCATTCAGCCCACACTTCACACAGCTGAGGTTGCTGGTCAGGCGTCAGCTGCCTACTAGACACCAGAGAAGATTCAGTGCAGGAGCCGCTCCGAGCTGCTCAGATCTAGTGCAGGGATGGGCATGTAAACTAGGCATTTACCAACACGGTAGGACTTCCCAGGTGGCTCAGTGGTAAAGAATCCGCCTGCCAGTGCAGGAGGCACGGGAGATTCAGGTTCGATCTCTGGGTCAGAAAGATCCCCTGGAGAAGGAAATGGCATCCCACTCCAGTATTCTTGCCTAGAGCATCCCATGGACAGAGGAGCTTGGCGGGCTACAGCCCACAGGGTCACAGAGAGTTAGACATAACTGAAGCAAGTTAGCACACACGAGCCAGCATAGTAAGTGTTCTAGCTGTGGGCAGACCAGAGTGTGTGGAGGACAGAGATCTTCTGACTGGGGGAGGAGGGTGCATGTTCACAGAGGAGGGGGTTTCTCACCTGGGTCTGAGAGGGATGAGGAGGGAAGGCAGGGAAGATGAACGCTTCAGCTGTAAGTGAACTGGGTTTGAGTTGTCTATGAAATATCTGGGAAAATTAGTTTTGGAATTGAACATAAAGAGACCCCGTAGCAGGTTGGAAATGCGTATGTGGATCTTGGGAAAGGAGGTCAGAGCTGGAGGGCTAGGTTTGACAGCTCCTATGGTGAGTCAAGCAAATGAGAAAACTTAATGCAAGAGTCACTGACCTTCACAAAATTCTAGTTCTGGCCTGCACGATCCAAGGTTGTCAAGCAAATGAGAAAACTTGTAGGCCCCAGTCCACAGAGCTGAGGTTGCCCATGGGGTCACAAGCTCAGAGGAGCCTGCAGAAAGGAGCCCTGGAGAGAAGTCCAGGTGGGAGGCCTAAGCCCGGGTAGGGAAAGTGAAAGGACTCAGGGCCCGAGTCTAGGAGAGATGACTGTAACTGCTAGGTGGGGATAAGATGGGATGATGGTGCCACCATGTGGCAGGCACTGCATGTGCATTCTCTTAGTTAATCCAGATTTCAGTCCCTTTGGGGTTTATCCATTTTGTATATATATATTTATATATATTGTATATATATAGCACTTCCCTGGTGGCTCAGATGGTAAAGAATCTGCCTGCAATGCAGAAGGCCTGGGTTCGATCCTCTTGGGGAAGGAAATGGCTACCCACTCCAGTATTCTCGCCTGGAGAATTCCAGAGCCTAGTGGGGTGCAGTCCATGGAGTCACAAAGAGTCGGACATGACTGAGCGACTTTCATTTTCGTATATATATGTATATATACACATATATATACACACAAATTAAAGGCTCAAAGTAGTACCAAAATCGTCCAGCTAGTAAGTATGGAGGCAGGACTCAGAACAGCTAGGTGTGACTCCAGAGGCTGTGCATTTTCTGAGACTAGAGGAATTGGTTCAGACACTGGGAAGCCCACAGCCCAGTGGTGGGGGCCCTTCAGGGACTCCTAATGATGAGCTGGGCTAGACTGAAGTTGCTGAGATGGTGATGGATATGGAGATCAGTTTTGGTTGGTGGCCACTTGCTAGCAGGAGGCCACGTGGCCAGTCAGTGGCATCAGAGCCAGAAGCCTAGGGAATTGACCCACTCAACAATTCAGGGTCACTTTCCAGGGGTCAGGAATCTGTGAGATCCAGTTATACATGCTGTCATGACGGTAGATCTGCCTAGATGTGAGCTCTGAAGAGGGTCTCCCTCCCCGACCTGGGGTGCGGGCCTTATGTCAGAGCGGCTTCCGGGAGGTCTTCCCGGAAGTCAGGTTGTACAATGGTCTTTTGTGGATGAGTCACTTGCCCCTGCCTCTCTGCTCAAGTACACAGCCTGGCACTTGGCATGCGCTCAGGGAGGCTGTGCTCAGAGGGTTTGCCAAGCGGGAGTCCGGGCTGGTGAGTGGGCTTGGGGACCGTCCATTCCCTGACCTCTGTAGTGTGTTCAGATTGGCCCATCTCCCTCAATGTGCTGGGGATTAGGTCTGAATCTAGTTTGGGCCTGACCAGCATTCCCAGCTGGGGCTGAGATGCAACTCCATGGGCATCCAAGATGAGATTAGGGGGTTGGACTGGCTGAGAGCGCCCCCCACTGGAGACCCTGTTGCTCTCTAGCCTTGGATGGTGCTGGGAGCAGGGAGGCGAGGAACCAGATAAGCTTAAGAGGTGTCTTAGGTTGCAGTAAGAGGGTGGCTTCCTGTTTCTAGGCCCAGAGCAGCCCCTGTTCCTTCCCTGGGCCCAGGTGAGGTCTCTCCCAGAGGGCCTGTTAGTCAAACACCTGGCAGGAGCCCAGTCCTGCGGGGCCTGCCAGCCGCTGTTTGCTCTTTTATTGAGCACATCCAGGTGAGGTTTATTGCAGACCGTTCCCCAGGCTCCTGTTTCCACATTTGTCTCTTTTGAGTCTGAGATTGCCAAAGGCTTTCACTGCTAATGGCCCTTAGGGCTCCCAGGAGCATTTAAGGGAGGCCTAGAACATGACTGGGTAATTAGTCAGACTAAATGCAGCCCCTGGAGAGTGGCTGAAGCTGAGTGGCAGGAAGTAATGGTGTGGGGACAGGAGCCCAGGCCCGAGGCAGCTGCGCGGGCTTCTCCTCACCTCACCTCACCTCACCCTGCCTCTGTCCCTGCCTTGCCGCTCCCCGCCCTGACCCCGAACAAGGGAAGGTCTCCCTGGCCCTTGATGGCAGGGTCCCCAGGCAGGCGGCTGTCCTGGGTCATCTGAGGAGTATTGTTGAGCTGACCTTGGCAAGTTCCTGCCGCCTTTTCTCTGAACAAGTCTCACCTGCTCGCCCTTGCTGGAGGCTGAGCTCAGGTGTCCCTTCTCAGAAGGCAGCACAGCTTGACACCTCGTCAAAACCGTGGGCTTTGAGGCTAAGCCATTTTGGTTCAAATCCCAAAGCAACTGGTTTTAAAGTCTGTGATCGGGGGTAAGTCAATGAACCTTTGTGTGTCTCAGTTTCTTCATCTTTAAATCGAAGATAATGATAACACTGACCTCAGAAGGTTATTAAAAGGATGAATGATATAATAACACATGCGCTGTGTATCATAGCACTGACCTCGGAAGGCGGTTATGAGGATTAATGGTGTAATAATACTTGCTCAGTGGTAGCGGGCATATATTAGGCTCTCATGAAGTTACAGTGCCAAGAGCAGGTCCGACTGGAGCAGAACTCGGGGAGTTGACATCTTTCCCTGGCATTCAGGTCCACTGTGCCCAGGTTTGCTTCTCTCTGGTGGGGCAGAGAGAACAAGGCCTCTTGGGGGAAGGTGGTGGAGGACAAGATTGGGGAAAAGGACTCTGAGCTCAGCCTGCTGCTGACCCAAGGAGGGGAGGAGGGAGCCAACATCTGTCAAGCATCTATCCAGCATCTCCTGCTTCATCTCTTTAACTCCTCACACCGTGTTGGTGGATGAGGATACCGAGTCTCAGAAAATGGGTGACTGAGCAGGAGGGAGCAGGGAGGGGCGCTTAGGGGTGTGAGATTCCTAAGGGACTGTTCTTTCTGCTAGAGCTCTCTGTGGTGGATGCCCTGGCCTAGCGCCTGGACGCCTGCTGATGCTTATTATCTTAGAAGCCCATGGGAAGCCACTCATCTCTCTGGAGCCAAAGGATAAGCCCCCAAGTCCCTGTTTCATTATTATCACACTCATGTGCTGTCTCTCTGCTTGCAGGTGGATGGCGTGCTGTGCTTGGCTGACATTTTGACCGACGACAGCCACTCGGAGGCCACGCGGGCCGAGGCTGCGGCCGTGGTGGCCCAGGTCACCTCCCCACACCTGCCCTTCACCCAGCACCTCAGCAGCTTCCTGGAGAGCATGGAGGAGATCGTGACAGCTCTTGTTAGTGAGTCATCCGGGGTGACGGGGGCCTTGTCACGGTTGTCTTCAGAAAAGGCGCCCTGGGCCCCCTCACTGCACCCCACACAACCCCTCCACAGAGATCACATGTGCCCAGATCCCAGCGGTTAAGGATCAGAGTCAGACTTGAAAGAGGTCTGTTGTCAAGTCTTCTATTACAACGCTTGCAGCCCTCTGAGAAGCTTCAAGCACTGACTTGAGTTCAGGCTAGGAGTTTTTTTTCTTTTTTTTTTTTTTTCAGGCTAGGATTAATTGGCCTTTCTGAATGGAGACCAGGACACGCCCCAGGGAAGCATGGGGACTCCAATGTTGAGGCTCAGATCCTTGGCCAGAGACACTCTGATGGGCTTTGTTCCCAAAATCTCTCACCTGTGGTACCTGGGAAGTGTGGCAGCAATGCCTGGGGACAAGTGGCTTTTCAGAGAGCAGCCATTCCCCACCTGCTGCCTGCAGCCCCAGCCTGGCCTTGCTCCCTGGGGCCCTGAGAGCTTCGACTCTTCTAGGGTCCCCTATTCAGACGTGTGTGCTCCTGGCAGGAGCATCAGAGACTGATATCCAGACTATACTGTTTCCGCAAAACTGCAGGAACTAGAAGAACTCACCTGGAGAGCAGTCCTCAGGAAATTTGTTTTGCAAACCACAACCTTTAAGTGTTGGTGCCATTCTGTATTTCTATTTCAACCCCTCTCTCTGTCACTGTCTCTATATCTGTATCTTACTGAAACAATGAAAATTGATCTCATCAGATAAGGTAGGGCTGGTGTCAGCACTTGGGCTTGGATTTTTGTCTTTGATTCATCCACCTGACAGAGAGCTCTTGACCGGTAGCCCTGGGCAGGCTGTCTGGGATTCCGCCCCTCACTTGCCATATTGCATTGCAAAGCTCCCTTTATGGTGTTCCTATTGTAGGAAACAAGGTGTAAGGACCCGTTTCTCCCAAGGGTTCTCCTAGCTTTAGAATTTTCAGATCTGTAAGTACTTTGCACTCAGGAGGTCTTAGGTAGAGTTGACTTAATGGCTGATTCTAGTTTCTCTGGTCATGACACCTCCAGGCCAGGGTGGGAGAAATCAACTTGTTAAATATCCACATTGATTCAAAGTTGAGAAAATACAGAAGCCAGCTGTTGAAAAGCCTTGGCTGGAGGGAACTCAAGAAATCATGCCCACCCTAAAGAGAAGAAGCCTAGGCCTAAAGCAGGTGAGAAACTTTCCCAAGGTCACGTAACAGTGTTAGAATTACCTTCTGCCAAGGGTGTGGTACTCAGTCATGCACCAGAGCCAGGCAGGAAACATAAATGAGGTGAAGAGTCCAGGTGGAAGAAGAAAATAAGGAGATTTTGAGTCCTGTATTGAATTTAAAAGCATGTGCAGTGGATGTTGTTGTTCGTTCGCTCAGTTGTGTCCGACTCTTTTTGACCCCATGGACTGCAACACACCAGGCTTCCCTGTCCTTCACTATCTCCCGGAGTTTGTTCAAATTCATCATCCACTGAATCATCCAACCATCTTATCCTCTGTCATGTCCTTCTCCTCCTGCTCTCAATCTTTCCCAGCATCAGGGTCTTTTCCAATGAATTGGCTGCTCGCACCAGGTAGTCAAAGTATTAGAGCTTCAGCTTCAGCATCAGTCCTTCCTTCCAATGAATAGTCCGGGTTGATTTCCTTTAGGATTGACTGGTTTGATCTCCAGATTCACTTCTGCAAGGGGTGTCATGCTCAATCATGTACCAGAGCTTGGCAGGAAACATAAATGAGGTGAAGAGGCCAGATGGAAGAAGAAAATAAGGAGATATGAGTCCTGTACTGAATTTAAAAGCATGTGCAGTGAATAAAGAGAGGCAATCACTGATAAACTCTGGTTGATTGTTGCCATATAGGAAAGAGCAATTTTTTAAAAAGACAAAAATTCTAAGTTTTATAGAAAATCTCCCAGTCTATAAATGATAGCAAATAATAAATCAAAACATATATATTCTAAGTGACCTTTCACTTTTGCCATGTGTCTATGCCAGCTTCTTCGCCTGGTCTGGATTTCTCCCCAGAGAAGAGTTTCCTTATTTATTTTGCCCTGATGAAGATACATCGTGGAGTCGGCTCTGAGAGTCAGCAGATGGGATGTATCTTCTGGGCAGGTAGCCAGGGCTCTGTTCTTTGGTGGGAAATAGTCCTCCAATTTCTTGCCATTCCCTGGAAACATTTATAAATGAGTCACTGGGATTCTCAATTTAATCTTTCTAACACATCCCAGGTGACAGATCCTGTAGCTCAAATAAATGTGCATCAAAATTAAAAGGCACTTAGATGGTTGTGTTAATAATTGCTATGTCTGCAGCAATGGTGATGGTGTAAGAATGAGGTGGGTATTTGGAATAGAAGAAATTGTAGCAAAGTGGGCTATGGGTTGTGTGATTGCACCCCAAACCCAGGACACAGGCAGGGGGCCTGGAAGGGCTGACCCTACTAGTTCCCCCCAAATCAGAAGATAAAGCCATCATTGTAAAGGGGGTGGTCATAGACTTCTTATTTGTTGCTCTTGTTCAGTCGCTTGCTCAGTCATGTCCGACTCTTCGTTGACTTCATGGACTGCAGTTCACCAGGCTTCTCTGTCCTTTACCATCTCCTGGAGTTTGCTCAAACTCATGTTCATTGAGTCAGTGATGCCATCCGACCTTCCTCTGTCGTCCCCTTCTCTTCCTGCCTTCAGTCTTTCTCAGCATCAGAGTCTTTTCCAATGAGTTATCTCCTCGCATCAGGTGGCCAAAGTATTGGACTTTGGCCAATACTTTTCAGCATCAGTCCCTCCAAAGATAGAGTTCTTAATTCCTTGGCTAATGTGCAGCCCAGGGAGGTTAGATCAAGATGTAGGTCTTGTAGTGGTCACACCTGGGCTGTGGGGAGCAGTGCTCAGTGGGTAGTGCTCAGAGGGTAGGCATTGCCCTCTGGATAAAAATGAAACAAGATCTGCAGTAGCATCACTGGAATTGAAGCAAAGAAGCCTGGAGACAAGAGGCAGCCTAGAACATAGAAAGAGTGGGGAGTTTGGGGTCAGGCAGACTTGGATTTGATTCTAGAACCCCTAGATTACCATCAACCCTCAATTCCACAGTTTTGGGAAAATCATTGAACATTTGAGTCCTCTGTTCCTTCGTCTATAAAATTGTCATAAAAAGTTGGATTGTTGTGAGGATGGAATGAATTAGTGAGATAAAGAGTGCACAGCAGGGCCTGGCACAGAATAAACACTTGATCAGAGGTGGCTACTGCTACTAGCTTCTCTGAGTCTCAGCTTCTACATTGTAAATGGAGGCAACTACTTTCTGCCCTAAAGGTGCTCAGAAATTAATGGCATTGTGTAAAGCACACTGCAGGGGGTTCAACTAATGCTATTTTCTGTCCCTATATAGGCAGGGGACAGAAACTGCTTTCACTAGAAGGTGCCAAGAGGTGCCAGTTCTAATATCAGAACCTAAAAGTAGATTCTTTTGGAAGCAAGAACTAGAGAGCAGGATAGAACACACTCAACTCTTCCCAGTATGGCTTCTTTTCCTGTACTTTCATAGAGGTACTATCAGTAGGAGGGGATGTGGACCCAGGAAGCCCCTTGATTAGTGGTCATATTGTAACTGAGGGTCAGAAGTCGGGTCCATTTGGATGGATGGGCAGCACCATGGACCCCTTTATGCCTTCTCCAAGGCAGGAGCCCATGGGGGAATGTGTTAGGTGGTGGAGGGGTGCAGGTTGGGGTGGCCCTCTCTTCCTTAAAGAACCTGCCAGAATACTGGAGTGGGTAGCTTTTCCCTTCTCCAGGGGATCTTCTCAACCCAGGGATTGAACCCAGGTCTCCCACAGTGCAGGCGGATTCTTTACCAGCTGAGCCACAAGGGAAACCCAAGAATACTGGAGTGGTAGCCTATCCCTTCTCCAGTGGATCCTCACGACACACGAAGTGAACTGGGGTCTCCTGCATTGCATTTTCCCTTCTCCAGGGGATCTTCCCAACCCAGGGATTGAACCCAGGTCTCCCACATTGCAGGCAGATTCTTTACCAGCTGAGCCACCAGGGAAGCCCCAAAGAACCTTTAGTACAATTACAGATGGTAGGTGGGGGGACATGGTTAGGATTGGGTTATGGCTCCAAGGATCAGTGAGAAAGAGCCTGACATTCAGGGACATGGTGTAGGACTTCTATGCAGCCAGGTGATCCTGGCTGGGACCCAGAGGAAATCCTGAAACTGTGCTGATGATAGCTGGAAAAGCAGTGTCTTTATATTTTAACTTCAGCTTCTCCCTCAAGGCTAATTTAGCAGCAGTCTAGTGTACGTTACTAGAAATACACATGGACTAGGAGTTCTTTCCTGCCCCAGGGCCTTTGCACATGCTGTTCTTTTGGCTTGGAACATGCTCTTTCCCCCCACATAGTCTCGTGACTTGTTCATTTTCCCCCGAGGTCTCAGCAGGAAAGTCACTTTCTCAGGGAGACCTTTCTTACTCACCCAATGGGCCTCTAAGACGAGTGCTAATTCTCGTCTTAGCGCTTGTTTATTTCCTCCCTCATATTTATTAGACTTTGCAGTTATTTATATCAACTTTTAAAAAGTTTGTTTTCTCTTGTCCAGTTGTTGTTTAGTCACTAAGTCATATCCAACTCTTCGTGATCCCATGAACTGTAGCACACCAGGCTCCCCTGTCCTTCACCATCTCCTGGAGTTTGCTCAAACTCATGTCCATTGAGTCAGTGATGCCATCCAACCATCTTATTCTTTGTCACCCACTTCTCCTCCTGCCCTCAATCTTTCCCAGCATCAGGGTCTTTTCCAGTGGGTCAGCTTTTTGCAACAGGTGGCCCAAGTATTGGAACTTCGGCTTTAGCATCAATCCTTCCAATGAATATTCAGGGTTGATTTCCTTTAGGATTGACTGGTTTGATCTCCTTGCTGTCCAAGGGACTCTTAAGTCTTCTCCAGCACCACAGTTTGAAGGAATCAATTCTTTTAGGATGTAAGGTTAACAGGGGCAAATATCTGATCTGCTGTGTTCACCAGCCCATCTGAAGACACGAGAGTGCCCAGTACACAGTGTTCACTCAGTAGGTACTTGTTGGGTGAAGGAGTAATTAGAATGCACGCATCAGGTTGCAAATGCCAGTGCTGCAACTAATATAGAAAGATACAATTCCCTCTCCAGTAACTACTTTTTTTTTCATCTATAAAATGGAAATTGTAACAGCTTTCCAAAATTTCTCCCAGAGCTATTGTGGGAACCAGATGAGGTAACTGATATGAAAGCGCTTGGCAGTGAAGCTGTTTTCTTCCTCTTTACCATCTAGAACTGTGCCAAGAGGCCTCATCTGGGGAAGTCTTCCTGCTGGCCTCGGCAGCCCTTGCCAACATCACCTTCTTTGACACGATGGCCTGTGAGATGCTCCTGCAGCTGAATGCCATCCGCGTCCTCCTGGAGGCCTGCAGCGACAAACAGAGAGTAGACACGCCATATACCAGGGACCAGGTGAGCCGCGCAGGGGGAACCACACCGGGAACCTGTAAGCGTGAGGGTGGAGGGCAGGGGGCCAGGGCTTAAGTTCTGGAGTCAGCATGGTCTGCAGCACACAGTCATTGCTTTTAGTCGTTTTCTCGGGGAAGGTGAGGGAATGTGTCCTCCACATGCCTCGTGCCCTTGGAGCATCTCTGCAAGTCCACTGCTCACCCTCTTTCCCATCCCAGCCTCTAGAGGGCCTTCCTCTGTCTCCATCTGTCCATCCTAGGAGCAGAGAGACACCATGGGAAGGTCCCTGGACCTCCTCCAAAGGTCTGGGTCCAGCTTTGTGGGTGCCTGCCTATCTGATCTTGTACCTGCTGTGAATTTCTTCTTTTCTTGGCCTCCATGAAACAGAGTCTTGGAGCAGACCCTTGATTCTAGACCTCAGCCCCTCTATCAGTTTTCTCTCTCTTTCTCTCTCTTTTTTTTTTTTTTGTATATTTGAGTTCCATGAGAAGTTTTGTTTGGGGAAAAATGGTGTTGCTACTATATATGTTTGAAAATATTGAGGAAGGGAGTTTTCAAGGGCCTTTGCGCTCTGAGGTTATGGGAGTCTGTCTGGTCAACCTCTGCTGTATTCAGCTTCCCATTTCCCTACCAGAGGTGGGGGTGGTGGATCTGGTGTGTGTTTGTTCTCTGTAAATCCCACCAGGTGCCTGAGCTCTATGTCAAATGATCCTCTAACCTCATCCCTGTCTGTGTCCCATCTCCCCGGTCCTACCTGTTTCTTCCAGCCTTGCTGCCTGGTCAAAACTGCCATAACTTCACATTCCAGCTCCCACCCCAGTGACTCTGGGAAAGCCTTCCCAGACCGCCCTGGATCTCTGGGTCCTCCTTTCTTTGAAGGCCACACCTCACAATGCAGTGTTGACTGTTCCAGTGATATTTATTCCTTTCCGGTTATTTTGTGTCAGTTTATGCCCCTGAGGGCATGGTCCCATGTTCTGTACTTCCCAGGATTTCTCAGGCCCCTAGCCCAGAGTGGGCACCCTTGATGCGTTCTGTAAATGCTTGCCTAGGACATGAAAGGGAAGAAGAGGATGGTACTTCGTCAGTTCTTTCTTGTCTTGAGAATCACCTGTGGAAGGGCAGCCACAGAAATTCCCATTCAGAGAGAACTCTAGTATAAATGCCTTTGCATATGAGGGTTCTACTAATGCTGTGAGGCTGGCAGTATCTACCCCCTTTTACGGATAAGAATATTGAGGCTTTAGAGAGTATCCCCCATATCATAGGGTTGACAATAGCCAACACTAAATCCTGGCCTGACATAGACCTTGGTCTTTGACTCTTACCTGCTGCCATCTCTGAAAGTGAAGAGGAAATAGTGGAACTATGGGGTCAGAGAGACTGAATGCCGATCTTGTCTGGGACCATAAGTGGGTGACTTTGGGCAAGTCACAGCCTCTTGGGTGTTGGTCTACCTTGCACAGTCATTGTGAGGGTGAGAGAGATAAAACACATGTAAAGGACCTGATATGATGCTTTGTCCTTACTAAGTCCTTAACAAGTGATGAGTATCATTATTTTTCAAACTTGATGTTATAAGGAAGAGCATAGACAGCGAATTATCCAAAATCCTCACTTTGTCCTTCCAGGCATTGCATGATGTAGTTCTAGACTTCCTTTCCAGTTTAATCTCTCACTTCTTAGTTGGAAAAGCCCCACAGAGGTCAGGTAAGACAGTGCAAATAGGTTGAGTGGTGACCCACTGGGCCGGCTTTTGGCTGTTTGGCTGATGAGGCAGGGCCAGCCGTTGCAGTCACTGTGCTCGGCTATTGGGGTGGGGGTGGGTACTGGAAGGCTAACTCTGTGTCTCTGCCTTGTTCCCCCTCTTCTCTTCTCCAGCTGGATGCCTCCAGTTGCTGGGTCTCTCACCTACCTGACATGATGTTACCCCCCTTTCCTTTCAAGTGCCTCTTCTGTAGCCAACTCTGGCCATCTCGTACAAGATCCAATAGTAAGGTAGAAATAACAGGAGTGAGGGGTTCAGATGACATGGCTTCAAAGCTTCTCTGCTGTATAATCATATAACTGGGCAATTCACTTGGAGCCTCATTTTTCTCATCTGTGAGTGGGGTTGAATACTGCATATTTCCTAGAGATAAAATAAGAATTGAACAAACTAATACAAACTTTTAGTACCATTCCTGGCACATAGGAAGTATTAAATAAATGAAAACCTCTGTCCATGTGATTGTTATGATTGGCCTTTGAGTGTGTGGTACTCAGCCCTGAATNCCATCATCCCAGCAAACTGAGTCTACTTAACTTGTCCCGCAGAAGCCGCGACAGCCTGAGTTTGCCTGTCCTCTGCCCACTCTTGGAGTATGGATGGGGCTGAGGGCCGCCTGGGCCCGGGCTCTTCCATTACCACCATCTGCAGCCCACCAACCCCTGCTAATGGAGGGGGGCTGGGTGCACTTAACATTCAGAAGCACTCCATGTCTAACAAGCCATCTGTGTGGACTGTGTTTCATCCCTGGAAGTATTTTCTAGGGGTCACGCTCCCCAGGGCATCCAGCTACAGTCATGACGATAGGGTGGGTACAGGGCTGGCTCACCTCTGCCTGCCTCTCAAGCTGTGACAGTCTAGGGTGAAAGGGATGTGGTTGTCTTGTCTAACTCACAGCAACCTTTAGAGATGAATTGCTTTCACAGAGGTAAAGGGTGCTGGTATATTTACTTTCCATGAAGATACACTCTCTGTTGGCATTTTAGAGTGTCTGGATATTGTAGCATTTCTGAGCCCTTGCTGTGAGTATCATTATCATGGCTGCATGCTCAGTTGCTCAGTCGTGTCTGACTCTCTCAGCTGTGTTGTGACCCTGTCGACTGTAGCCCACCAGGCTCCTCTCTCCATGGGATTTTTCCAGGCAAGAATACTGGAGTGGGCTGTCACTTCTTGGAATATCATTATCAGGAGTCCATTTGTCAGAAATGCCAGTTACTGAGGATTACAATTTTGACTTGCATTGCAGAAGCTCTCTGTAGTTTATACAGCCCTATCACATACATATATGACATGGTAGAAACAGTAACAGGATTTGGGTTCAGGCAGACCTAAATTCAAATCCTGATTCCATTTCCTAGCTGTATGACCTTAGACAAATTGCTTAACTTCTCTTTGCCACAATTCCCTCTGTGAAATAGGGATACTAGTATTTTCTCCCTCCTTGTGTCATTGTGATGATTAGGTGGCATGATGCTTGTAAAGTAGTTTGAAACAAAGTGATACTCAGTAGTGAGTGGGCCGGGGATCTCTGATAGAACCAGCAATTGGGATGGGTCCACGGAAGTGGAGTCAGGAAATGTGGTTAATGTGGTGGTTGGTGTAATATGGTGTGAGTCAATGCATGGTGTGTTATTGTTTCAATCTGTGTGTGGGTTTCTGCAGATTGTACTGTGTGTGTGTGTGTCTGTGTGTGTATGAGAGAGAGAGAAGAGAGAGAGCGGTGTAGGGGACTATATATAAAGCAGTTTGCTTGTACTTGAATATATGTCCATATCTACTATCCGGAGAGGCTTAGAGGAAGCCTGGATCACAACACCCAGGCCTGATCGGCTCCAGAAACCCTTCCCTATAAGGTCAAGGGAAAACTATACCCAGAGAACATGGTCTGGTGTTTGCATGCTTCTAATACTGTGAGGTTGACAGCCCAGCCTTTATGCAATCCCTAGGCAGAGTGTTTTGGTTCAGTTCACCATCAACTTGGGACCTACATCTAGGGCAGTTCTGTGGCCTTTGTGACTTTCTCTGCTGAGCCCAGAACTCAGCCCTCCAGTCTCACCTCTTTGGTAGTGAAAGGGCCAGGGACCAGAGGGTGGAAGCAGTGTCTGTCTTGGGAATCAGGCAAGTGACCTGCTGGTCTCCACACCTATCAGAGGGAGAGAGAGGAGTGGGGAAAAGGGCTGGGTCTTCTCCTGAACCCCTTGCCTTTCTGGCCTTGAAGGAGAAAGTTTCAAGAGCTCACACTCTCTCTCTATCAGACCCCTTCATCCTTCAAGCCACTGTTCTTGTCTTGAGAGTCTTTCTGTTCTTTGGTGGAGGGAAGTGGTGTGGAGGGAAGAGGGCAGGGCAGGGAAGCACTGGGACTTCCTTAGAGGCTGTAAAGGGCTTCTGCTGGCTGGTCTCAAGGCTGCAGTTGACATGGTTGCCAAAGCTTTCGAGAGTTATCACAGTGACCCGGGCTTCCCACGTGGCACTAGTGGTAAAGAACTGCCTGCCAATGGATGAAACCTACATCTCCTGTATTGGCAGGCGGACTCTTCACCTGCTGAGCCATTGGGAGGTCCCAACAGCTGCTCTGAGTGCTTGACAAAACATTAAGTCACTTAATACTCATCATCACAGGCTTATGAGTTCTCTTATTTTTCTCTTCTGCAGTAGGCCAAAAAATGCCCCCTCCAAGAATGTCTACATCCTAATCCCCAAAACCTGGGTAGGCTCCCTTACATGGTAAAAGGGATATTTTCAGATATGAATAAGTTAAGGATCTCGGTATAGGAATAATATCCTGGATTTTCTATGTGGGCCCAATGTACCACAGGGATTCTTGTAAGAAGGAGGCAGAAGGGTCAGAGTCAGAGGATGAGACGTGACTGTGGAAGCAGAGGTCAGAGTGATGGGCCAGCAGGGTCCAAGGAGTCTGAGCAGCTTTTAGAAACTTGAAAAGAATGACACAGATTCTCCCCGAGAGCCTCCATGCAGAAGGAAGGAAGCTCCGTCAACACCTTGACTTTAGCTCCATCACACCTCCTAAAGGCTTCTGACCCCCAGAATTGCAAGATAAAATTATGTTGGGTTAAGTCACTAAGTCTGTGGTCACTTGTTTTAGCAGCAATAGAAAATGAATACACCTTACTCACCAAGGCAGAGAAAGGTTAAGTAACATGGTCAAGATCAGGTGGAAGATGATGACAGAGCCAAAATTTGGAATAGGTTGATCCATGCATTTAGCCACTATGCTATACTGCCTCTTTGAGGGTGATACCTGCTATATTCACAAATAACTATTTGAGGGATCAGTACCGTCTCACTTAGGAGGAATAAGACTTAATTAAAAAATCATCAGATGGGAATGAATGGCTTGGGCCAGGGGGAAAACTGTCATCTGGCTCCTGTATTCTGTCCCTGACAGCATTGCTACCATATAGCTAACGAGGTAAACCAGTTGTCCCCAAAATCCCAACTCTGGACTTGACTGTAAGGAGGGATATTGTTGATCTGCCTTCTCCCCTCTATCACAGTATGTACAGACAAGAAGATTTCAAAGGAGGGGGCTCAAGGCAGGGCCTAATTGGCATTTATTCAAATTGTGCTTAATTGAATACTTCATCTGCACCTCAGAAAACCACATGGGGTACAGGTTCTGTAAAGAGGAAGTAATTTTCATTAACGTTCTCTAAATTAGTCTGACACAAAGACCTACCTGTGCTGTAACACAGCTAATAATTGCTGTGTAATGAACCTGATGCTGCAGACAAAGGTTTCCTTTTTATTTTGCCTTTCTTTCCCTTCTTCCCTTCCTTCCTGGCTTCCTCTCTCCCTCCCTCCTTTCTCTTGGTTCTGTATGTCAAGCAACCACCTTTACTCAGCGGCCAGGCTGGTCATGGTTGGAGGATAGCTGTCCCCGTGAGGTAGGAACTGAGGCCATGCACCGCGCTCCTCCTCACCTCCCAGAGAAGGCCAGGCGAACTGCAGTCTGGCACAGGCTTGGCCTTGTGTCTCCTTCCTCACAAGACTGCGCGCTTTAGGCCTCTTGGGAGCTTCTGCTTTTGGCTGCGTCCTCTACCTATATTTTTCTTCTACCTCTTTCACTTAGCTCACAAACACTCATAATCCTGAAAGGGTGGGAAAAAAGAGCTTCCAAAGACAAACACTTCTTTAGTCCTATTGTCTTTCGAAAATGCAAATAGGAGTTTGTCACTCCCCTCATAAAATACCTTGTGGTGCAGAGTGACCTTCAGGATGAAGGTTATGTCCCTCCCCTGACTACCCTCCCCATCATGCTTACCCACCTAGGCCCCTGGCCAGGTCCAAGCTGGGATGGCTGGTATAACAGACTAAGAAGGCGTCATATTCTAAAATGTGTTTAGTGGGGAATGGAGAAGAAAGATACTCTATCAGTGTGGCAAACTTTTCCCTTCTTGTTTAAGAGATTTGTTATCTGAATTTATTGTCCAGAGTAACATGCCAATATTGAACCAATTAAAATCTAGATAATCTGCTTTGTTGGTCAATTCCATGTTACTATGCATTATCCCATTTCAGAACTTAAGGTGCCTGAACTGTGTCAGGAGACTGTCAGCTGCTGCCTCAGAGGTGGGGCACGGCCTCCAGTTATACCGTGTGACAGGCTTTGCAGAGAGATAGGCCTCCACCAAGGAAAAGTTACTACTTGAGAGTGCTGTCCACTTCCATGGAAGTGGGTGGATTTTCATTTTGCTAAGTTTAATGTTAGGCTCAGTGTCATGAGTGGCATCTGGGTTAACAGGTGCCCCGTTTCTAACATATTCCAGTGGTGTTTGGCACCCTCTACAGTTTGGGGTCTGCAGGAAGTCCCTTACTGGTCCATCCTTAATCCAGTTTTGTGCCGTGAGTTCTCTGTGCAACCTTGACTATGCCAGGGGGTAGGGCTGGGGTGGGCTATTGGCTGCTCAGCCCAGAAGTTGTAACCAAGGTTCAGTGTTTACCTGGCGTCAGCATTCCTTTCCTACAGGCAGAGTCCTTCAGCCATGACTGACAAGCAAGGCTTTACAGTCCGCAGGCTTGTAAAGTGTAGCAGAGTGTGAATCCTCGTCAGATTCCATATAGTACCTGAAGTTTATGGCGCAACGCTGCCTTTAGTTTCCTTGTCATGATCTCTATCTTAACCTTAGTCTCCTTTCATTTCAGGTTGAAAATAGGTGGGGCTTAGTATCAGGGCAAGAAGCTGGGGTGGAGAGAACCCAATCCAAGACGGGCTAGCCAGGAACCTACCAATTCTGTCTGCATTCCAGGGCCTGGGTTCAAAGGAACCCTGCTGAAAGGTGATAGAGGCTCCATCTTCACTCAGGTGATTCTGTTCTCTCCAGCGGTGTCCTGGGGCCTCTGAGGGCTGTCCCAGGGCCACATGCTGATGAATGGGCATCAGTCACTAGGGAAATACATCTGAGTGCCAGAAGCCTGTGAAGATGGAAGAAAGTACCATGGAAGGATGGGCCAAGTGGACTGTAAGGAGTCATGGGCTAAAGGAAAGCTTTGTAGCCCCTGACTCACCTACCTGTACAGAGTACATTTTGGCTCAGGTGTTCCCATTTTCTTAGCTTTCTCAATTCTCTTTTCCAGATTGTGACCATCTTGGCAAACATGTCTGTCCTAGAGCAGTGTGCCTCTGATATTATTCAGGAGAACGGTATGTCTTTTCAGCGGCGTGCATGCTGTATGGGTTATGTGGCTCTGCGGGACCTTGTGATTTTGTGTTTGTGTGAAGGCCTCTATGTAGGTATGTAAATTTGTACATGTGGGTCTCCACATTTGCAAGGGCACATGAATGTGTGCTTATGTGGGCAACAGGCCAATAGGTAAATGTTCACTTGCTTCCATAGCACTTTGATCCAGTGGGAGGCAGCCATGGAACAAAAGATAGGGAATGTCAGGTGCAGAAAGCAAAGCAGGGAAGAAGATAAGGTAAATCCAAGGGAGAAGCATGGCAGCTGCTATTTTAATTAGGGTGGTGAGGAGAAGACAGAGACTTCATTAGGATCCAAAAGTAAAAACCTATGCCCATAAAGGATGCATTCCAACTTTAAATTATTCTCGTGATATTGGATTTGGCCACAGGAGAAAGTTGACAGGTGGGGGGTGGGGTCAGGGCAGATGGATCCCTGGATGCCTCACCTGAGAGCATCTGTTTCCTCTTGTTCCTTTGCTCCCACCTCGCGCTGAGAGTGTCACCAGGTCCAGATGAGGTGCCCAGGAGCTGATCTAAGCGGTCTCTACTGGAAAGCAGGTCAGCTGGCTGCCTTGCAGCTGGGAAAGGAGTGGAGAGGGCTTCCTGTGACTGAGAAATAAGGGAGCAATTAGCAACCAGTTGGAAACCAAGAGATGCTAATGAGGAGGAGTGAGCTGGGAACCTGGGCAGCTGCCTCTGCTCCTATTAAGCCCTGTTCTCCCAGGTTGCCTTGCTGTTTTAATACATGTATACATTCCCCATCCCCCTTACGCTATTGAAAAAATATCTTTTTGTGTTAATTTTGTGTGACTGGGCTAATCATGAGAAACTTTTTTTTGGCCACATTGCATGGCTCTGTTACTAGTTTTGTGACCTCCATTCTTCCATCTGCAAATGGAACAATAGTAATATCCACCTCACCGGGATGATGTGAGGATTAATATAAAGCTTGTTAGAAGAGTTTCAGGCAAAGAATGAGCTCTGTGCTATGTGTATCTGCTCTTTCAGGAAACAGTGGTTGTCTCATAGGGTTTAAGTGAAGAGAGTTTGATGAAGGAACTATTTACAAAAGTGGGGCAAAATTTGAGGGTTCAGCAGTGGTGGTAATTCAGCCAGGGACCACTAGAAGACTGTAGAACTCCTTGTTCTGGACAGGGCAAGCTTTGTGCTGTGAAAGGCAATCCTCCACTCAAGATACTTGAGACTCTGACATGCCTTGCCCTGAAGCTTGGTGATTTTGTCTTTGTCCTGCCCTGAATTGTGTGTGAATGTTGGTGGATGAATGGGCCATGCTGGAAGGTCAGAAACTGTGACCACTGGTCACCCTTACTCTGGGAGGCGGGCCAGGGCAGTCCAAGCTTATTTTTATCAGTCCAGTGGTATCAGTGGTGTCCTTCCAGCTAATTTTGCTTCTCCCTCCGGGGCTGGGGCTGAACTGGAGAGAATGTTGGGGAGGGAGCATGGCTTTGGGACCTGCTCTCTAAGCTATTACTCCCCGCAACGCTTGGGCAGCTCTGGCGCTGAGCCTGGCTAGAACTTAGAAAACACATTCTGGGTTTTTATTGGCAGCCCAATTTCATTGCATCTTATCTTTCTCTAGATAAGATTTATATATATTTAAAGGGAACTTTGTGTTTTGTACAATTGTAAGACTTCTCACATGAGTACATCCACATTCATTCATTTGATATTCATTCACAAACCTTTGAGCTGAGCAGTATTCTGAACACTTAGGAGACACCCATTCAGGAAATGGACAAACGTCCTTGTCCTCACAGTGCTCACCCACTAGTATAAGAGAAGCTTTTTTTGTCAGGTTCTAGGTACAAAGCTGGGGTTAGGGTTAGGGTTTGAAAAATGGCTTCTTTAAGGGAACCCTGCCCATGAGGAGTCTGTAAAAGTTCTTAATCATGTGGCCCTTCCTGAAGTTGTCATTTTGGTGTCCCCTGTTTATGTCACCACAGATCACAGTATATACCCAGGACAATCAGACCACAGCTCTGGTTTCAGGGGCAGGTGGAGAGGTTCTCAGCTGACCAAACTGAAGCCTAAACATGTCAGTCCGATTACTCCACCCTCTTCTAGTCATGAAACCCCTCTAAGACATCTGATCTAGTGAATATTCTAGTGATTATTCAGGGGTTGGTCACCTCCCACCAGGGAGACCCATTACCCCTGGACCTGTCTCAGATGCAACCAGCATCAGAGGTGAAGCAGTGATGGAGGGTAACCAGTTATCTGAGTTCTCATCCCTAGCTACTTACTGTGTAACCCTGGGCAACATACTTCACTTCTCTTTGGGCCTCAAAGGGAATTATAATAAATAGTACTTAGTCTTTGAGGCTGTTAGGAGGTTTTAGGGATCATGCATTTACTGTGTATTTAGCACAGCATCAGGGATGTAGTAAAAGCTCAGCGATAGCATTAAAAAAAATTTAAAAGGATGTCCTCCAAAGGTCCCTCCCAGGGATAGTGTCTTGGTATGTGGAAGCAGAGACACCCCCAGGGCAGATGGAGAAGAAATGGCCTTGTCCAGGTTCCTCCTGTGGTTGAGTCCGCTGAGTCACCCCAACGGCCTTGGCTTGAGCCTGCAACTCCATCCAGCTGGCCCTGTTCAGGCAGCTACCAACTGTTCCTTGCTTTCCACTCAGGGGTCCAACTTATCATGGGCATGCTGTCTGAGAAGCCAAGGTCTGGGACCCCGGCCGAGGTGGCGGCCTGCGAGCGAGTCCAGCAGAAGGCTGCAGTGACCCTGGCCCGTCTCAGCCGAGACCCGGATGTGGCACGGGAGGCCGTGCGGCTGAGCTGTGAGTGGCCGGGGCTGGGGTGGTGGAGGGGTGATCCGGGCTGGGAGCAGTCCTGATTTCACAGTGGTGGTGGCGATGGATGACTCAGAGCAGGGCTGGCTGTGCTGGGAAACGCTGGTGTGGGGCCCCAGGGTGTGCCCCAAGTGACCTTCCTTTCCCCTGGGCCTGAAACTAGAGAGAGGAGGAGTCTAGAGAGGTTTAAGTTGGCAAGAGAGTGACTGACTTATGGGTTTCCTGTTAATGAGGACCTCATTCTTTCATTCTCTCATTCATTTCCTCATTCATTCATTCAGTTTTTCACCTACTCTTTTTTTATTTAGCCACTCATTCATTCACTCATGAATTCATCCTTTTGATCATTCCTTCATTACTTCATATATCCACCATTAACTCATTCATAATCCACTCATTAAATCTCTCACTCATTCCTTCTTTCAGTCAGTCTGTCATTTATTTACCCAACAAATGTTTCCAGAGCACCCACTCTATGCTAGGCTCTGTTCTGAGTGCTGGGCATATACCTGATAACCGCAACCTGATAACAGTGGCTTACAGTCTAATGCAGGTAACATACGGAAAGAAAAGTTAGCACTTGAATATCATCAAGTAATGCTCAAAGGATGTCAGTGGCATGATTGGCACACAGAGGAAGTAGTCTACATTTTCCTGGGAGGGGCAAATAATGTTTTAACACGGAAATGAATCCTTAGCTGTAGTTTGAGGGGTTTTTCTGGTGTGAAGGCTAAGGAGTGCCCCAGATAGAGGCAGGAGATGGCAGCATCACTGCCCATCCAGGCACTGGAGGACAGGGGCAGCAGAGGGTCCTGGCTCCATATGACTGTATGGAGAATAAACATCGAGAATCTGTCTGCACACTTTTTATTACTATCTTATGAGTTTTGCCCTGTTGTTTTTAGAGTTTGAGAGAAGTCATTTTGTATTGAAAAACAAGGTCATTTATTTTACTTACCTCTGTAAAGGCATAGGAAATATTAACCTACTCAATCTGTAGTCTTCTTTAATTTTAGCCACAATATATTTTCTGACTCAAATGGGCAATTGGGGAAGAAAAACCTACTAAGATGTAAACATTGAGTTTGGCTCTGATTAAAGTACCTGCACGGGAAGTTCTTTCTTAGAGGGACCTCATCCCTCTCCACTGTGGGTGAGCTCCGTCCTGGCCAGTGTTCTGATGCTCAGGGGAAAGGTTTTGATGCTGCAGCTAATTCTGGGCCTGAGCAAGGTTCATTTACACCTGAGAGAGCAGAAAGTCTCCCCCACAGACTCCTCAGAGGGGTTTATCCCCTTCCCTACCAGTTGGCGGCCACCTGCCTCTACCCGGCTCCATGCAGAGGGCTGTGGTAAGAGACCAGAACACCTTTGGGTCAGGCCTGGCCACACCCATCCTGACCCAGGTGTGAGGGTCTCCCCATGTCTCTCGCAGGTATGTCCCGCCTCATTGAACTCTGCCGCTCGCCCTCGGAGAGGAACAGCAGCGATGCCGTGCTGGTGGCCTGCCTGGTAAGAGACCAGAACACCTTTGGGTCAGGCCTGGCCACACCCATCCTGACCCAGGTGTGAGGGTCTCCCCATGTCTCTCGCAGGTATGTCGCGCCTCATTGAACTCTGCCGCTCGCCCTCGGAGAGGAACAGCAGCGATGCCGTGCTGGTGGCCTGCCTGGTGAGTTCCCAGTCTCCCTGCTTCTTCCTTCCTGGGCTTTGGGGTTGCAGACCAGGGGATCAGGCTATGCCATGGTTGACTTGGGTACAGGCAATTTATTCTGGGTTTCCCCTTTTCTCTTTAAAATGGTAGCAAGAATAATACCTGTTTCACTAAGTTCATAAGTTTGTGATGAAAATTATGCAAGGTCATATAGGTAAAAGGCAGAGGCCTGGAGAACCTCCATTACACATGTTTAGTAGCTATGAACCTTTGAGGTTCTGGGGGATCTAACAGCAGGTCAAGACCAGAGGGGCTGGCTGGCAGGATGCTGGGTGGTGTTGGTGATGCTGTGGTGCTTGCAGCATATGGTTGCTAGGGTCCGAAGCCCTCTGCCTGTTCCAAAGAGGACACTGTAAGGAAGCCTCCTTTCCACCTCAGGTAGAGCCCCTCTACTGGTGCTCTTCCAGCTTCGTAGCTCCCTTCCTCTTTGTGGAGCAGGACAGGGAAAGACACAGTATTATTTGGCCTGTCCCTAGGATCTTCACCCCCAACCAAGCTAGCACATCCTGGGAGGTCTGTACCCAACTTCTTGATGCTTGGGTCCACCATGAAAGTACCAACAGCACCAGATGAGGAACAGATGCCTTGTCTCTGTACTCCTTCCTTCTAGGCTGCATTGAATCCTAAAGCAGAGCAGCTGGAAGCATCCAGAAGCAGGGAAGCCCATTGTAAAAGCCCTTTAACTTCTAGAAGGGGGTGCAAGATCTTTGGCCCTCAAAGACTGTATAGGAGAAGGGATGGACCTAGAGCTCCTTCAAGCTGTTTCACACTAAAGCCCCTCCTCACCCCATCCTTTTTTTAAAAAACTGATCCCATCCCATTTCTGGGAGCTCCTAACAGGCAGTGTGTGGTGGTAGGAATAACAGGCATTTTAGTCAGACACACCTGTCTTGGTTTTGCCATTAATGAGCTGTGTAACATTGAGTAGGCCACTAAGTGCTGAAAATTTTATTCAATAAATATTTGCTGAGTGATTATATGGGCCATGTACTCTTCTAGGCTTTGGGGATGACAGATGTGGGGGAAAAAAGCAAAAATCTCAGTTCTGATGGGGCTTTTATTTTGGTACATGCAGAACAACCTTCATCTTTTTTGTGCCTTGGGCGAGCTGGTGAAGCTTATGGATCCCTTCTCAGTATTAGTTTTTATAATGCATAAAGTAAAATATATAGAATTAAAAGGAAAGCAATCATATTAAAATAATTATTAGACTGTTTAAACAAGTAATATAGTAATAGCAGTTCAGTTCAGTCACGCAGTTGTCTGACTCTTTGCGATCCCAAAGACTGCAACATGCCAGGCTTCCCTGTCCATCACCAACTCCTGGAAATTGCTCATTCGTGTCCATTGAGTCAGTGATGTCATCCAACCAACTCATCCTTAATATTATGTATATTAATATATATTAAAATACATAATAATGATATGTATAATATATAATAATTATATATATTATATACATAATATACATCCAACCAATTCTCATTAATAGTATATATATTTATACTTTTAGATTAACTCATTAAATAAAAGCTAACCATGAGTCTTGACTAGCAATGAGCATAAATTATATTGAAAGTACCTCCAAAAACTGTAATGAGATGTGAAATTGTTACTGAACCAAACTTGGGTCCATATGCTCATGGGCAGTAAAGCCATTCCTCTGACACTGGGTTGTGGGAAAGAAAGTGCAGTGTTTTTGCAGGTGCCAAGTAAGGAGGTCAGATAACCAGTGCTTAAAAGTCCCAAATTCCCCAAAGGCTTTCAGGGAAAGTTTTTTCAAGACAGGATAAGGGAGAAGGGTTTGTGGGGTATGTGATCAACTCATGGACATTCTCCTGATTGGTTGGTGGTTAGGTGATCTGGAGTTAGCATCATCACCCTTCTTATTTCAGCTGGTCGAGAGTCTACGTGGGCAGCATAGAGTTAACTTCTTCCACCTGTTGGGGGTTTTAGTATCTGTAAAACAGTTCAAAGGACATGGCTCAGAATATTGTACACGTCCGATGAGGAGAAACAAAAGGCCTTTGACTTTGTTTAAGGGCTTAACTATCATTATTTTGTCTTGCTTGACTATTTTCCTTTTCTTTCTGCATTTCTCTCTTCTCTGATTAAATGTACTGTTTGGAACTCAGGAAAGTCTAGGAGACTAAAGTTTTTCTACAGACAAGAGGCAGGTAGAGGATATGGGGGGAGAGGGGCACTATTGCACAAAGGCTCCATAAGGTCCTGAAAGTGAAAGTGTTAGTGCTCAAGTCATGTCAACTCTTGGCGATCTCATGGACTCTAGCCTGCCAGGCTCCTCTGTCCGTGGGATTCTTCAGGCAAGAATACTGGAGTGGGTTGCCATTCCTTCTGCCTCTGGATCTTCCTGACCCAGGGTCCTGCTCAGTTACAGAAGTCCCTATGATTCCTGTTGGTGAACAAGTAACAGGCGTCACTGAGACTTCTTGATTTATCACTGCATTCACAGCTGAAGGAAAGGCTATTTCATTCAATTGGAGGGTAGTGAATGTAAAGATATAATATTTTTCATAGGCCTTTTTCTCCATAGACCTTAATTCTGTCTGGTCTGCTGAATACAGGGAGAAACTTACTACCTGGCAAATGCAGTCGTTGGTCCCAACTACTGCGTCTTCACCACTTGGGTGGCCAGCAACTGCCTGACACTGAATAGGCCCCGAAGAAATGTTGAGCAGTTATAAAGCTTCATTCAGACATGGGGGCTTATTATGACTCATTTTCCATCTTTATCATTAGGTTGAAAAAGAGCACACAGACGGGCTTGGCCTCTATTTTCCATCACTTGAAGGACTTTCCGGTGGAAAAGGGATTAAATTTCTCCCTTGTGGACAGGTTTTTGGATGCTGAATAGAGGCCCTTCCTCCAGAATCCATCCTTAATGTGGCTGCTGGCCTGATTTTCCCCATGACAGTTTACAATCATGACCTTTCCACCAGCAGCTCTTCCCTGGGTCCCCCTTGCCTATGGCCTACTGTCTATATGCTTGGCCCTTCGTAGCCTGGCTCTGACCTCTGAAGACCTCCCACTGCCTCCAGGCCCTTTCCAGCTCAGGTCAGAGTGCCCTGAACCACCCTGACACTGCGCTTTATCCCTTGTCCCAGGCAGATGCCCTCTCTACAGCTCTGCCTGCTCTCCCTTCAAGGCTCAGATCAAAATCTTCCTCCATGAGGCTCAGATATAGGGAGTACACAGTGTGGACCTGGGCCTGCCTGCGTGGATTTTGTTTCCCTCAGTAGAAAGCAGGCTGTGTTATCTTGTGTTCTGGGTGTTATAAGGGGAGGCTCTTGGAATTCCCACAGAGGCCTGTCTGATGCTGAAGGTCTTGACTTTTTGCCCAGACCTTCTTGTTTGCAGCCATGCTTTCTCCCCTTATGCCTAATGGTCCAGTCATGCTACCGTGGCTCATGGGAGGGGTTCTGTACTTCTCACCCTCTACCCTAGAAACTGCTCAGGGCTGGGGTTCTTTCCCAGCTCTTGTGTTTACATAGGCCCTTAGGTTTGGTGACTGTTTTCTTGCCTGGCTGAGGGTATGGACTTATCTGCTCAGCCCCCAGTCCCCAGTGTTGGTGGGTGTTATGATTTGACTCCCAGAAGGGGCTCCATGCCTGGCTGGTGAGCTGGGGGCCACTTGGAGCCTGATGGATGAGTTGGGGTACCTGTCTTGGCCCTCCCTAAGCCTTCTTCCCAGTTTCAGAGGCGCTCTTCAGGTGAAGGAAGGACACCTCAGTTATCATCTCCCACGTCTGGAAAAGCAGCCGCACAGACTGCCTCTTGCAAACAGAATTGATTTTTCCTTAATGAAGCGGCTGTCAGAGGGCTGCAGGGCTTGTTTAAGACTTGGGTGTTTTCAGACCGTCTGGGAATGAGGTCTTGGGAATATTGACTATTAACCCCCTCTGAGGAAAAGAGAGGCCAAGGAAAAGGCTTCAGAGGGGGAGGGGTCCTTTGAGCCCCTGGACCCTGAGGAGGGGGTGCTCTGGGGTCATTTGGGTTCATGGCCTGCACACTTTCTGGAGACCCTGGGGAGTGGAGGATGTCTATTTGCCTTTGTGGGTTTTGGGGTCTGTTTCTAAGTCTCTGTTGTATTTTGTTTTGCTTTTCTCACCCCCAAAGTTTGCCTCCTCCCTTAGGGATGTTTCTCTTTCCTTCTCCACTCCCCCCCATTCTTTTTACCCCCCAGTCCTCTCCCCTGTCTTGACTCCCTCCCCACCTCCTCCCACTGATTATCCTCTTGTTCCCAGGGTGTGCTCTTTTTTTCTCTGACACCATCTCTTTCTCTCTCCATCTCCCTTTCATACTTAACTCTCTTATCTTTTCCAAGTTCATCTATGTCTCTCTTTTTATAGTTCCTTCTTGTTCTGTTTTTCTTTTTTCTTTTTTTTTAGTTCTACCACTTTATTGCTGCCAACCCATCTCCCTCCACCCTCGTGCACACATGCTCAGTCATGTAACCCCATGGACTGCAGCCCGCCAGGCTCCTCTGTCCATGGACTTTTCCAGGCAAGAATACTGGAGTGGGTTGCTATTTCCTTCTCCATGTTCTGTTTTTCTGATGCTCTTTCTCTCTGTGTGTAATTTCCTCCTTCTACTTCGTTTTTGCTTTTCATGGGTTTATTTCCTGTTTCTTTGTCTTCCTTTTGCTTTATGTTTACCCTTGATAATGTAAAATACATCGATGGCCTCATATTCTTGCATCTGTGGAAGATCCCTGATTCCATTTTTTACAGTGACACCTTGAAGGCAGTGGGGTTATTTCTCCCAGTTGGAGCCAAGAGGAATCAGAAAGGGTGATGGAGTTCAGTCTTTAGCCCTTGGGGACGTCATACCTAGGAGAGGCAGGATACACTAGTTAGAGACAGTCTCCTGGGATCTCCCTCCTGCCACCAGTGGCTAAGACTCTGCTCATGAGCAGAGATGCATGGCCCTTATCCTTGATCCAGCTTGGACATGGCAATGCCTGTTAGTCCAATAGACAAGCCATCCTCTCTTTACAGCAACTTGGCGATTTCTCAGCACTAGGTTACCTCTTATGTCTAGGTAATGAGCTACATGTTTGCTCTGTACTCAGTATAAGCTAGTGTTTTGGGCTTGCAGCATCCTACCTGTGTTTAGGTCTGAGGGCCCTGGAGTTGGACTGCTGTGTGGTCTTGGGAAGGCCAGTTTCCCTCTCTGAGTCTTAGTCTCATTTCTAAATTGGAGATCATGATACTTACCTTGCGTATCCTATGGGGATTAAATGCAATACTCTGTAGATACTCAGTAAGAGTTTGCATTCCTCCTCCTTTGCTTCTCTGCCATTCCAGATAGTCTCCTCTCTGTTTTCTAAGGGAAGGGCATCCTTAATCTCCCATCTTGTTCCCTGCTGTATTTAGGTTTGAGAAGAGGCAAAGAATTAATATTTATTGAACACTTAGTGTGCATGGCTTCAGCTAACCAGCAAAGAGGTCTGGGTAGGTACACAGCATACATTTATAGTTTAAAGGTTGCTCTAGCAATAAAACTCCGTTTAATATTTGTTCATTTTTTTCCCCCAGCAAACATTTATTGAGTCCTGTGGCAAGCCCTGTTCTACCTGCTGTAGATAGAGGAAAAAATACAACAGTCTCTGTTTTTGAGGAGCTTAGAGTCTGGTGTGGGAGATAAACACCTAAATAACAGTTGTAGTCGAGTGTGAGAAGGTTGAGGTCAGCCCAGGGGCTGTGTGTAGACAGAGGAGGGAGGGATTTTCTCTGCTTCAGGGAATCAGGGCAGGCTTCACAGAAAAGGTGATAGTGGGCCAGGCCTTGCAGTATGAATAAACCTGCTGGCTAGAAAAGAGTCAGTAGGGGTTTCACGTCAAGAGGAAAATCTGAGCAAGGGCACATGGACATAAAACAGGATGGCATAGTCAGGGAAGAGTGCAACACTCAGTATATTTTTGGGAAGGCATCCGCCCTAGTGATTAAGGTACCAATGAAGCAAGGTGACTGTGTCACAAGGTTGCTATGGTGACTAGGTGACCGAAAGGACCAGCCCACTAAGGTGTCAAGGTGATGATCAGCTCAAAATGGCTGATAAATGAGCCACACACTGAAATGCATCTCTCAGGGAAGTTGCAGGCCTACATGAACCTGAGCGGACCCAGTGTGACCTCTTCTGTTTTCTCATTAGGCTGCTCTGCGCAGACTGGCCGGTGTCTGTCCTGAAGGCCTCCAGGACTCTGACTTCCAGCAGCTGGTCCAGCCCCGGCTTGTAGACTCCTTCTTACTCTGCAGCAACATGGAGGAGAGTTTTGTGTAGCAAGTGTGGGAGACAAAAGACATTCGGCATCATTCTCAAGACCGTATCTGAGTACATTCTTGTGAACGTACCAGATTATACACCAGCCCTTCACCTCCTTATTTATACTTAATTTATTTTTTATGTGAAATGAACAGAGGGCTAAATGTTCTAGCAACATCATCAGGCAGTCTGTGGTCTTTTGGAGTCTTTTTTTTTTGTTTTTACTTCTGTGACCTTTTAGTTGCAGATGTTGAAATGCATAATGGCTAATATGACAGATTGTCATGAGTGATTTCATTTCCTCTTGCTTTCTCAACTCTCAATATGTAATCTTGCATCATTTTTTTTTAAAAATTGAGAACCAGAGTATTTTAGCTGCCCAGCAGTTTTTTTAAAAGTTAGATTCGTTCTAAAATATTGTAAATGAACTTCATAGTTGGACAGACTATACTGAAAGGAAATTTATTCTCAATAAATGTAATCATATAAAATGTTTCTTGAGTTTTCTGACTGTATTATGTCTTAGACTAAGTTCTTGCCCCCTAAAGTTTCATGCCACAAAACCTTCTCAACTATTAAAACTGCATAGAAGCTTATATTGTCTTCATAGTTGTATAAATGGTTCAAGTTCTGAGTGATTTAGTGAGAAATCAAAAGATTTCCAAAGCCCCAGGAACTCAGTTTCCTTTGGCTTGCTTTTTTTTTTAACCTTATGGTAAATAGTATCCTCAGATGAGGTATTAAGTAATCAAAACTTAATGCATTGACACCAAAACAGACATATGGGCAGATCAGTGGAACAGAAGAGAGAGCCCAGAAATAAATTCATGTACCTACAGTCAATCTTTGATAAAAGAGGCAAAAATATACAGTGGAGCAAAGACAGTTTCTTTAATAAGTGGTGCTGGGAAAAACTGGATAGCCACATATAAAAGAAAAAAATTAGAACATCCACTAATACCACATAAACAAACAAAAATAAAATAAAGCACAAAAATAAACCCCAAATGGGTTAAAGACCTAAATGTAAGACTGGATACTATAAAACTCCTAGAGGAAAATACAGGCAGAAAACTCTTTGACATAAATTGAAGTGATACTTTTTTGGATCTGTCCCCTAGAGTAATGGAAATTAAAACAAAAATAAACAAATGAGACCTAATTAAATTTAAAAGCTTTTGTAAAGCTAAAGAAACCATAAGCAAGATGAAAAGACAGTCTACAGAATGGGAGAAAATATTTCCAAAACAATATGATCAACAAGAGATTAATTTCCAAAATATACAAACAACTCATAAAGCTCAATATCAAAAAATACAAACAACCCAATCAAAAAATAGGCAGAAGATCTAAATAGATATTTCTTCAAAGAAGACATATGGATGGTCAATTGGCACATGAAAAGGTGCTCAACATTGCTAATAATTATTAGAGAAATGCAAATCAAAACTCCAATGAAGTATCATCTCACACTGGTTAAAACGGCCATCATCAAAAAGTCTACAAATATATAAATGCTGGGAGAGGGTGTGGAGAAAAGGGAACCCTCTTACATTGTTGGTGGGAGTGTAAATTGTCACAGTCACTGTGGAGAGCAGTATGGACATTCCTTAAAAAACTAAAATTAGAGTTACTAAATGATCCAGCAATCCCACTTCTGGGCATATCCAGATGATAAAACTCTAATTTGAAAAGATACGTGCACCCCAATGTACATTTCAGCACTATTCACAATAGCCAAGACATGGAAGCAACCTAAATACCTATTGCAGATGAACGGATAAAGATGTGGTATATATATATACAATGGAATATTACTTCTCCATAAAAAGTAATGAGCTAATGCCATTTGCAGTATTGTGTCAAAAGAGCAAGACAAATACCATATGGCATTGCTTATATGTGGCATCTAAAAAAAATTATACAAATAAACTAATTTATAAAACAGAAAGAGACTCATAGACTTCAGAAACAAACTTATGGTTCCCAAAGAGGAAAGGGAGGAGGAGGGATAAACTAGGATTTGGGGTTTAACCAAATTTGGGATATATTAATTACATACATATACACTTTGCTGTTATTTAGTCGCTAAGTTGTGTCTGACTCTGCAACCTCATGGACCCTAAGGCTAGAGTCCTCTCTTTGCCTCTAAGCTAGAGTCCAGGCTCCTCTGTCCATGGGGTTTCCTGGGAATAACACTGGACTGGGTTGCCGTTTCCTTCTGCAGGGGGTCTTACCACTACTATATATAAAACAGATAACCAACAAGGACCTACTACTGCACAGCACAGAGAAGTAAACTCAGTATTTTGTAATAACCTATAAAGGAAAATAATCTGGAAAAGAATATATATGCATATTACTGAATCACTTTGATGTATAGCTGAAAATGACACAATATTGTAAATCAACACTATTTTAATAAAATAAATATAAAATAAAAAGGAATACAAATTTAAAAAAATGATTCCATTTATATCCTCCATTACAGATGGGGAAACCGAGGCTTGAAGAGGTTAAGTATATTGCCAAAATTAAATAGCTGTTACTAATGTGGGGACTGAAACCACATCTCTCTGATTTCAGAGGCTAACTGGGAAGAAATCAGGAACTTAGCACCAGGTCCTTACTATAAGATAAATAGGGATCTGGACCTGTGCTGAACCATCGTCCTCTAGTAAACATACTATGAGGGGTCTATTCTGGGCCCAGGGAAGAAAAGTAGAAATGAATAAATGTTGGTATCACCTGTGAATTTAGACTGGAGGGTAATTGGTTAGTTGTCAGTAAACCAATCACTTGAAAACCTGTGAAGGATACTGGTTAAAAAAAGTATGAGCTCAGCAGCCCGCCTCGGTTTGAGTCCTGGCTCTGCCGCTTGCTAACTGTTAGGTAGGGCTCATATCCTCTCTTTGCCTCTGGTTTCTCACCTGTAAGGTGAGGTAATGATGGTGCCTTAAGCCTAGAGCTGCTGTGAGAATTAAATGTGTTCATACTTGGACAAGGCTTAGACTAGTGCCTAATGACAAGTGCACAGTAAGTGTGGCCACAGTTAAGTCAACCAAATCCCATGTTTGCATTTATGCCAGTTCTCTGAGCCGTCTTATAGTGTCTCAGATATGGGACTTATAGCTTGTTAGAAACAGAGACTTTATCCTGCAAAGGATGTAGGGGTCATCTAGTCCCATCTCTACATCCCTCACTGAGGAGTAAAGACACTTGCCTAAAATGACATAGCAAATTAATAGAGGAGCTGGGACTTGGGTCCCAGCAAATTATGACAGCTGTCACCGCAGCTGCCTGTTTTGAGCACCTGCTCTGTGCTAGGCACTGTGACATTTACAACTTCATTAAATTTCTAAAATGACTCTAAGTAGTTATTATTAACCTCTTCTTACAAATAAGGAAATGGATACAGAGAGACTCTGTGTCCTGCCCAGTATCACAGGACTGATAATGGGAGACAGGATTGAGCAAAGTGATACTAAACTGATACTAATACTAAACTAAATACTGATACTGATACTGATACTAAACCCATGATCATTCCTCTTTAGTGCACAAATGTTTTATACATAAACCCAAACATCATGCTCTATCTTAAAAACAGAAGTATGACACTTTGGCAAATTCTGAACTTTCTTTTTATTTGAAAAATATATGTTAATATTTTGCATTTAAAAAAATTTAATTGAAGTATGATTGATTTACAATGTGTTTAATTTCTGCTGTACAACAAAATGACTCAGTTATACATATATATATTCTTTTTCATATTGTATGCTATTATGTTTTATCACATGATATTGAATACATCAATAGTTCCCTGTGCTATATAGTAAGACCTTGTTAGTTTGCATTTCTAATTCAATAATTTTGATCTCTGATAAACTTTATTCATTTGTTAAAATTATAATAACAGATGTGAAGATTATTTCAGAGAGCAAGTGAATAGGAATGAGACAATGAAATGAAACTTAATCAAAGCAGAAATTCTGTGCCATTTCTGATCAATACCAGGAAAATCTCTAAAATAGCTTCTCCTTAGCCTAGTTTCAGAGTAAACCATCAAAGACAAGTCAAAGCAGATGCTGTATGTTATCATTTCCAGTTTTAAAGCAGTGACAGCTTTTGGGAACAATTGTTTTAAAATTCCTTTTTGTTAGAGATTTCTGATGCTCCCTTTGTAGAGATACTGTTTATGTCCACATTCTCTGTCTCCTTCCCTGTGATTTTTATCTGTGATTCTTTATACTGTTTGGGGCTACCCATGACTGATAAAAGCAAAACTTTGAGGATATTTACATGGGTGTATTCATGAGTCTCATACCTGAGAAAGAAAGAAAAAAAAGAAAGTCAAGGAGTCCAAATAGAAATCCATAAAGGGCTATTTGCATATTTTCACTTTCAAGAACACATAAAAATGAGATTGTCAGTTTATTCACATCATTTACATGGTATTTTCTTTAAAGTCCATGGTCTCTCTCCTCCATCCTGGGACTAAGTTGGTTGCACTGCAGGCATATAGACCTCTGAAATGGAGTCATTTCTCACTTTGGTGGGGGCCATGATGACCTTGGATGACATTCAGGATATGGGGGTAACACTCCGAGTGAGGCTCCCTGGGTTTCTGCCCTCAGGGAAGGTCAGGAAAGAGAAAAAGAGAAGTTTTCAGGGTATTTTTTGGCTCCATTTTTCAGGTTAGGTTTCTGCCACTGCTCCAGCCACGCGGTGCAGTCCCCTGGACCCACAGATGTCTTGAAGTACGAGGTGGGGGGATGCTAAGTTTTGAGGTCTTTGAAAAAGTTATTCTTTACGTTTCAAACATGTTAAAATTTAATAATGAGCTTACCTATACTTCTACAGTGCTTCTCAAGTTAAAAGTTCATTTGGGAAGTTCCATTTCGATGGTTTGTCTTGAGAAAAGCACCATGTGACCCATCTGGGGAAATTCACTGTCTCATACCAGGCTGATACTTTCCTTATGGATGTCCTTGCAGAACAGTTTCCAAATTTTGAATAAGACATTTCAAAGGCCCACATAGCAGACAAGGAAAGTAGAAGTCTTTCTTTAAAATTCATATCCAACTTCACTTTCCACCTCCAGATAGCAAATTCTGATTTTCCAGCATTTTCCTCAAGAACCTAGTGTTTGGATCTCTTCCATAGCAATTCTTCAGAGAGTAATAAACGCAGAAGACTGCAAAAGCAGAAGGCACCTTTGTATACCAGATGTCACACCAACAAAAAGGAAGAAAGTGACCCTTGTTAAAGGCATTCAATCTCCCTCTCTGTCATTCCTTCTCAGGAAGGCTCCCATCACTCCATCTATGCTGGCAGCTCTGAGTCGAATGACCAGTGGACGTCTTCAGTTTCTCTAAGAACTTGCCCATGTTAGCATCTGTTTAATCTCTTGGCACCTGAGTTGGATGGCCTTGTGGAGTACTTGCATGT